GAGCCGCCGCTCGACCCGCCTGCGCCGCCGCCCCCCTGAGCGGGTTGGCAATGGGATGCAGAAGAAGAAGAAGAAGCAACTGCCAGCGCGCCACGGCGGCGAAGCCGAGTTCCGCCGCTGGACCGCCCGCGCAATGGCCAGCACAGACAAGAGACAACCGAATCACAACACCTACAATTACGTTATTATGGTATTGACATTGTTACAATTAACCCTGCTCTTTCGAGCGTGGATGCACGCTGAAATTGTCGCATAATTCCATGCAGCTTCCACCCTTCTGCAATACAAAGTTTGAATACAAAGTAGTCTTACAATAGGTTTAGAACTTATGTGCAGATTGTCGATGCTGGTTGACTTGATGATTGGAATTGTGTTTATCTGTTTATCTGTTTTGACTTAAATATATGGCCATGTACTATGGCCTACCTTGGGAAGTGTCTCTGATTTCAACAAAACATTTTTCATCAGGATACGCTGCAGGGTACATAGTACATACGTAGTGAAAATTTTGAGCATGTATGGGTGCGCATGTGGAGATGTAGACTGCGAATGAGACGGACTACGACGGTTTTTGAACCAATTAAATCTGATTGACAACATAATGTAGGATTAAAAACTGACTGTCAGAAGAATATTCACAGAATATTCACTTCACCCAGTACAACGAAAAGGGAAAGTCAGGAAACAGGCAGGGTACATCTCGAAGATCAATCAAATTGCAGGTGCCGATTGGTTATGGATCATTGTAGCTCAATGTACTGCCTTGTGCTGCTTTATTGATTGAAATTGCTTCCAGCTTGTATTGAAAGAAGTCATTATGGAAGAATTAAAAAGGTTCTTGAAAAATTTAAATACTTTGAATTGATATTTATGCAGAATTATACACCCGTATCATTCTTTACATGTCAATATTTGTATATTATCTAGCATATAAGAAAATAGTGGCCTCAAGTTTCTAGAAAATATCTGATTTTACTCTCAGAGCCACTGCAGATCCCTAAAAAGTTAGGAGCCGTCTTCATTATTGAATGTATAAACCCAAATAAATTATCACTGCTCAAAAGTGGAAGAAATGACAAATGAAATAAAGTTTTCCTACAGCGTTGCAATCCAGATTTCAAGATAGTGATGGGCGCACTAGAAAGCAAGTAAAAGTACTCCACAAGGCAAAAGTAAGGAACAAGAATATCCTTATACTGTTTCAGAATTCGGTAACAAACATTTTTTGTGTGTTTTAAATACCCGAACAAATCGATTCCAGAATCAGTCTTGATAATATTATATGGTTTTTGTATGGTGTTGGTGGTACTTGAATGACCAAAGTCAGTACATGTCCATCACCTTTCGATATTTCCGTGGTGCTCGTTCCCATTTCATAGCTGCTCACGGTGTTTTCTGCTGACGTCATATGGTGCTGCTCCACTAGCGCCACCATACGGCGTCAGCTGGCGAATTATCCAGTTAATACCAGAGCCCGAAATTCGCTGGCGTTCTCCAAACGCCGAAGGCAGTGCGCGGGGAATGTCTAAGGTGCGCTATTTTGGCTTTTTTTAGCCTTCTTCCATTTAAAATAGTAATGGGATGGAAAGAAAATGTACTTCTTACTTTGATTACTTTCTACAAGATAATCGCTCTTGTTGCTCAGTTTGCATTTATCATTCATATCAAAATCATTTTTCTACTTTCTTTAGGTGCATAATTTCGTTTGAATCCTTCAATGCAGCATATAATTATTTAGTATCTTCACGACTCACAAAACTGGGAGCCCATTACTATCTCTATAAATAGTTGACTCGATCACTTAACTGTTGAACTATCACTAAAACTTGCAGAAAAAATGCATACATGATGCAAAGGTCCTGTAGGTAAAAATCCATTCATCATCGTCATCCCTAAGATAAGCCCATTAGCATCCCTCACGCTCTTCCTCTGGGCCGGCACCTGGCGATCACCCAATGCCTGCGCCCTACGCTATCATCCCATAGCGATAGCTCTGCAATGGTCGAGTCTTTTTGGGCCAAGAGCTTGGCTCCCAAGTCCCAACAAAAAAGGCGAAGATCTGCCGACAAGCAGAGGTGGAGATCTCGGGGGTCGGGGGGTCAGGACCCCCCCCCCCCCCTGAAAACGAATTACTGCTATGTAAGTCAATGGTACTGCATCCAGCCCGCCTCCATCTGCCCGGCCTCGAACCCTCCTGAAATTTTGACAGATCTCCACCCCTGCCGACAAGCACATCTTCCAACAAAACTTGCACAGCAAATTCATGAATTTATCGACATTGTTGAGTCGTGATGAATGCTGCTTGTCTCAAGGAGCTATGCTATGCAAAAACAAAACAGTTTTACCGTTCAAGTCATTGACGCATTGTTTTGTTTGTACATATGTTGGATAAGGCTGTTTCGGTCCGACGAGACGAGATCGTTTCAAAGCCGGAAGGAAGATAGGAATAGGAGGAGACACTTGTCTGGGCGGGCATCCCATGCAACCCATCAAGAGGACAGGCCAGCCCAGCTGACGCCAGCCAGCATCGCTGGCGAGCACGATCACACAGCGCGGGCCCCCGTACCCGGCCATGGGCCCGCTCCTGGGGGCGGGTGCCGGGTGAAGCATACCAATGTAGAATAAAGTTGCTCGGATCCAGCCCGGAACAGGGGGTCTTGAGATGTGGAGGAGAAGGATTTGACGATCCTGAGGATAGAAACGACGGAACGGCTTGGATTGACTCATCTCAAGACTTAAAGTCGCATAAATCAGCGCATGAAGCTTGGCTTAAGCTTGGCCGAAGCTTGGCCATGTATAATAGGTATAGGACCCTGGACCACCGTACCACCTTTGTGATCTTGCTCGCTCTGGCCATGGCGTGCCGTATACAATACAACATTCCTGACCCCTGGAAACACTCTATCGTTCAACCGATCTTCAAGTCGGGCAACCCATCTGACCCCAGCAATTTCAGACCGATCTCCCTAGTTCCCGTAATCATGAAAATCATCGAGCGTGTAATCCATCAGCAGCTCTATCACTATCTCACCCATAACCACCTTCTTTCGTCTACCCAACACGGATTCCGCCCCCGACACTCCACTGAGACTGCACTGCTGTCAGTCACAGATAGCATCCTTGCCGCCACCGATAGGGGTGAGATCTCAATGCTATGCCTCATAGACCTTAGCAAATGTTTTGACGTCATTGACCATGAACTCCTTGTCAAAAAGCTCCAAATCTACGGTATTGAGACCTCCTGGTTTTCCGCTTATCTTCAGGGACACACGCAGAATGTATCCCTGAAAGACAAAACCGGCCGCAAGATAACCTCTCGACCGCTCCCAAACACCGTAGGAGTTTTCCAGGGTTCGGCTTTGGGTCCCCTCCTCTTCACTATATTCTCCAACGACCTCTCACTATTTGCCGGAGACGCCACCGCTTATCAGTACGCAGACGACACCCAGATATTGGTGAGCGGCCCACGCAACGACATCAGGAGTCTCATCTCGCGCATGGAGGCATCGCTAGAGTCACTTAACGCATGGTTCTGCGCACACGCCCTGAAAGTCAACGCTTCTAAAACTCAACTGATGGTATTCGGTAGCCGACAAAACCTACGTAACCTGCCTCGCTTCAAAATCTCTTTCCGTGACGCTGAGCTCCTGCCGTGCGCGCAGGTGGGAAACCTGGGTGTTGTATTCGACGGCGCACTCACCTGGGAAGCACACGTGGCCGAGCTGAGCCGTCGCTGCATGGGCGTACTGATCGGCCTCTCCCACGCACGACACTGCCTCCCAGACGGTATCCTCAAAACGATCGTGACTGCACTCGTCATCTCGCGCGTCCAGTACTGCCTCACTGTATATGGAAATGGCTCCCAGAAAAACTTCGACCGACTTCAAAAAATTCTAAACTTTGCAGCACGGGTCATATTCGGCCGCCGGAAATTCGATCACGTCTCTGGCCTCCTCGATTCACTCGGATGGATGCCTCCGAAAGCTATGGCCGATGTTAAAACCATGGTAACTGCGCAGAAAATAATAAGCAACGGCGAGCCCGAAGCACTAGCTGCCATCTTCACGAATAACAGTGACGCGCGAGAGAGGTCCACTCGACAGGACCACCTTTTCCACCTTCCACGCTCGCGGCTCGAGACTGGCAAGCGACGATTCGGCTACCGGGCCGCGGCGCTACTAAACAGTCTGCCTCCCGGTGTCATCGAACAGCGCCCCGCCCCATTCGCCCGTGCGGCCAAGGCTGCAGTCTGTCCGGCGATGGCGACCGCCCGACGATGACCCGTGTCAGGGGAAGGTGGTGCGACATCCGTGTGCGGTGTGCTGTCTTGAATCGTCCGTTTGTATATAGAGAGAGAGCGAATGTCCAGCGATTGAATCTGTATGCCTGTGTTTCTTGTCCCCGCATGTTTGTGTTTGTGCCCGACTCAGACTCTGGACTGTAATCGCCACGCCCCGCGTGGATTGTCCATGAAGGTAATACAATACAATACAATACAATACAATGCTAAATAATTGCGTACACGAAACAATAATAGTGTTGCCATCTCGCCTTCCGTTGTTCTCAGTAATCGGTCCTAGCCGTTTATCGATGAGCGATGTGTACGTGATGTAACGTCTAGCGGCTCCCTCATCAGGCCGAGGCCCCATCCGTGGACTCAAAGACAGTGGAGGAGACCCTTGTAGATTTACGTTTTCGATCTAATTCTACTCTCTCCCAAATATAGGCACAATAGGGAAGCATAGGCAATACGCAAGCACTTGACGACCCGTCTGTCAGTCAAGTTTTATTATACTTAGCCTCTAAGCCTACAATACGCTGGATCCGACAATCGACATACCCACACGGCCTTGGAAGTTGGATCCGACCAAAACAGGGCGGGTCACCTCGCGGAGCCACAACAATTTGGCTGGTATTCAGTGCACAAGTCGACAAATCTCAGTCGGTATTCCATGCAGCGCGCTCGCCGAGCCGAGCGGGAGCCGTTTGGCCTTGAAGCGGCCGCCCGCTGGCCGGCGCCTGGCGTCGCCTCTGCGCGGTACTGCCGCGGGCGACTGCCGCCGCTCGCGCCTTGCGCGCCGACGGACCAGTTGCGACTCGAGCGGCGGCGCTGCGCGCGGCTGTGGAGTGGTGTTACTGTCTTGTGCGAACCCTGCGGGCGCCGCTGGCTGTCATCGAACCTCACGGAGCTTGGATTCCAACGGCCGTAACCGATCAGGAATGGGGTAAGTGGAGGAGACGAGTGGTGTTTGCTTCGCTCGCGCCGTTTTCTTTGTTCTGTGAGTTGGCGCGATTCGTTGCGCTATGCCGGTGTTGTCGCCATTCCATTTTCCTGTTCATGCGATCCATTAGCATGCAAGGATGAAAGACGGTGACTAGTGGAACTTGGAAGGACATCAGGAATCCTGTTTCGAAGCGAAATTTCGGCCACATGTTAACGCTGACGGGCATTGCAACATTCTTGCTAATTGCTGACGGCCATTTGAATCGTGAACGTCAAAGGCCAACACGTCATCGCCAACTGCTGGTCAGTGGTCCATCTTGATCTACGCTACCTACATAATGATCGGGATAACAACCTAATGGTTAACATCAAGGTTAACATATTCTTTTCTGTCTGGGGAATGTGATTGCAAATGGTCCTGGGTGGGATCCTAAGGAGCTATGTCATGTTTCCACGAAGGTCGTAATCGTAATGCGTGCAAGCCTCCGGTGCTGGCAAAGCCCAATGTGCTGGCAAAGCCAATCTGAATCCAAACCCCTATCAATTACAATCAAGCGAAGGTATCCTTGTCGAAAAATAATTATCCATCCTCATTGATCAATTGCCAGACCGCCCGAAGTCCGTCAGCGGTCAGACCGTCTAATGTCGAAATCTGTTCCGCCACTCTGGCTCTGCTAATTCGCAGGTCGGCAGGTCAGTGATCCTGTCGTGTGTAGGGGGCCCTGGGAGGCTCGCACGCCCGTGTGACCCGTGACCTGGCACGTGACCCCGTGTGACGCGCCGCGGGAGAATGACGGACGGCCGACGGCCCTGTGTGTCGTCATTAGCTCAGTTGTGACAGATCAGGGGTGCACTATACTATCCCAATCCGGAAGAAGAGTTGGTCGCACAGACTTATATAACACTAGCAGACTGCACTGAAAGCACACCACTATCACACACAACTACATCATCACAAGAAGCCCGAGACCAAAATGCAACACCTGCAACACTTTCATCACTGTCAAACATCTGCTACTCACATGCCCACAATACCAACACCACAGGACAAACATATAAACATACTGCAGAGACGCCAACATCCCACTAACACTCACAACACTGCTCGGGGACTTACACCCCGAGCTAACAACACTACTCATCCACTACATACACAACACTGGGCTGATAAATGACCTGTAAATCTCCTCCCCTAGAGCCAAGGACAAAAAGCCAAAAAAGCCAAAAGAAAAAGCCAAAAAGAAAAAAAAGCCAAAAAAAAGAACATTCAAAACAATGACAATCAATATAAAAGACCCCAGAATGGCAAAATGGCAAAAAAAAAAGAGACAAAAAGCACAAAAAAGAAAAAAAGAAGGGGCAATCCGGCTACCTGGGAGGAGATAGCTAGGAACCCTGACCCACCCCTCACCCCACCCTTACGAGCCAAAGAAGACGACGGACACTGCAAGACAACGGACGGACCAACAACGAAGACGGACGACAGAACCGGGCCCAAATACATGACGTTGTGGTGGCCCGTAAGCCAAAAATACCAGCTACCAGCTACCAGCTGCACTGAAAGATCACCACCGACTAACCTGAAATACCACGGCAATATCCCTCACCCTCACGAACCATCAACAAATGCCTGCGGGGACTAGCGAAGTCAACAGGCTAACGAACTCAATAATGCAGAGCAGCGAAGCCTAACTTCACAGACTGGCAGAATCGCACAGACTCGCACTGAACAGTAGACTGTCCCTCACAGACCAGCAGACTGGCCAGTGCCCTTATTCCACTCAGATGAAAGCCGTGCCCCGATGCATGCTGCTTTGGTCTTTGACGAGCGCTCTGGTCCGTCTAGTTAGTCTAAGCTGGCTCTGGTCTGCTCCAGCTCTGGTCTGTATTGTGGTCTGCCCTGGACTCTGGTCTTCTCTAATCTGGGGCCGCGGCCTGATCCTGTTTTCACTCCCGGGTGCATTTTACTTAGAGTCTGCGTTTACGAATGCAGTCTCGCTCGTCCGGTGAAATTTTGAGCTCTCATAAGCGGCTCTGCCTCCTGCCTCCCGGTTTCTACCCGGCTGTTTCTGTTTAACAGCATTCCTGCATGAAGTAGGATCAGAGCTGATGCCGTTCCAATTGGCAACAAATACTTACATAGGCCATAAACTGTGGTTGGCATTGCATAATGCACATTTCATACTTTCTGTGCCGCTTTTTTAGCTTTCTGCGGCTCTAATAGATGCTTTTCAGTTTTCACGTTTACCGTTTCTCCAGCACAGTGTTGGAAATAAGACCCTTGTCTGGACGAGTCGCTCTCCTTGCCCCTCTCCCTCTAGTCAATCTTTCAGCCGCGCATTTATCTAGCTAAACGCACAGTGGGAGCGATTGCAGCAGAACAATGGGACAGGAAGCCCCGCCCACTCGCACTCGCGTGAAAACACACAGGTATGCCACCACGGCGCGCGTAAACACATCCGCCGGGACCCGTGAGCGAGCAGCCGTGGATAAGGGCGCTGGCAGTTTGTTCCGGGGCGAGATTGTGGGCTCCAACTCAGTAAGTCAGCCTTACACGACGCGGAAATTATGGAACAAGGCCATGACGAAACCTGTGTAGGTATCCAGCAGTTTCGTCTTATCCTAAATTGGAAAAGACATGAAAAGCTGATCTTATTCCAGCACTCCTCGAAATTTTCATTTCGAAAATGGGCTTCAGTTTTGCATTTCATTCGGGGATCTGGCTCCATGCCATAGTTCTAGAGAGAGGTCTGCGCGTACTGGCTCAGAGGAGCTGCGCATCTAGCCACAGGCTTATTACATAATACGTGCGCGGTGTATGCGCCGCAGCGCGGACCGACCGGCACCTGGGCCGCGGAATACGGCAGCGGCGGAGCACGGGAGCAGCCGCAGCGTCCCTCCCTCCGCCGCGCCGCCGCCGGCGCCCGACCTTGGGCCAGGAGTTGGACGGAGCCGGTCTGCGGGTGTGCACTGCGCCCGCGGGGCTCAGCGGGGCTCAGCGGCGCCCCTGTGTGACCGCTGGGCCCTCAGCGCCCGCCGCAATCCCCTCCACACGATGGGGGAAAGAGCGGAGCTGGGCGTGGTCAGTCAGCCGCACCGCCCGGCTGACCTGCCCGGCGCTCAGTGCCGGGCGACGCGCCCTGGTCAGCGCACTGCTTGCACGAGCGGCCGCGGCGACCGCCGTTAGGCTGCCTTGCGCCGGCCTTGTGGCAAGCTGTCAGCCTCGAAGCAATTCCCGCGAACTGGCGACCGGCCCGGCGCCTGTCGCTGCGTCAGCCGGTCCTGTGCGACTTGACCGGCTGTTCGCCCGCTCACCATTGTTTATGTAGCCGCGGTGCCGCTGCAGCGCTCGGCCCGTTACACTCCTGGCAACTTCCCGTGCCCGGCGCCCGGCTCCATGGCGCTCTGTGCTCGGAATCAGATTTATACCGCGCTTTGTGATATCTGCACGGCTTTTAGGATCAGCACCCGAGCCTGAATGTCAGATTCATGCCGTGGTGAGCCTCACAGCGTTGTTCGTACCACCCCGTGCATAGACCCGGTTTGTGATGGTCGGTGAGTCGGGTACTATGTAGACCTGCCATGTAGCATTTACCTGTGGGCGGAGCCTGGTCTACCATCGTTTCGTGGAGTCTCGCGATACGTGTCATCATTGACCGTTGACCTCGTGACCGCCTGGCGACGTCTCCGGGCGGTCCGGCCACCGTACAGCGGCGGCGGCGGTGTCCCAGGCTCGTGTCTGTGGCTCGGAGTCGATGGAACGATAGCCGTGTTGGTAGGCGAGGACGATGTCCCGGCGCGCGCCCATCACTGGACACTGAAGCAGCCGGCTGGTCCGCCGGGCAGCATCGAGCAATGACTGATTCTGCAGCGTTTAGCTGAGTTTTGTCGGAAGGGTGGGTCGCTTATAGTCCTCGGCTATTTTATTTTACATTAACGGCATGCCTTATTCCCAGGGAAGGATAACATGGCTCTTTATCCAAACGCGATTAGCGAATAAGCTCATTCCATTTTACATAGACGTCATGCCCATGCCTTTCTGTCTAATCCCATCAGCAAGCAGCGCCCAGGACAGCCGATTATCTGACTTTGTGGCGGTGTGAGACGGTCTCAGTCTGCGGTCCGTTTATGTCCTTCGAGCCGTGCCGCCTCCAGTCTAAATACTGGCTGCAGAAACTGGTGCCGCGAGCGCCGGCGGGGCTGCACTCTGTATCTGTATGTCGGTCTGTCTGTTTGTCTGTCTGTCTGTCTGTCTGTCGGTCTGGCCGTTTGTCTGTCTGGAGCCGTAGCGTCACAGATGGAAGCAGACCTTTGTACGAATGGACCATGGGATGGCTGGTTGCGTGGTTCGTGGGCTGCATGTAGGTTGGGCTAGCAGTGTTGTGGGGGTAATGTGTGGTCTGTGGCGTGCGGGTAGGTGGGCGAAATGCGGTCCAAGATGGTGCATGCGGTCTGGTGGTTAGTTGATCTGACCCAGATTGACATGTGGTGTGTGTGGATGTGGATTTGTTCGTCTGCAGGCCAGCAGGTGTTCTACGATTAGGTTGATGTGGGCGGGCATCGCCACATCTGTTTATAATTTCGGAGTTAATACTCCGGAGTCTTGTAATCCGTAGCGTAAGCATGATCCTTAATCTGTTCATCGGCGATTCCTATTTAGTCATTCGGCCCCTGTAAGCCCTTAGCTCAGTTCCACTTCCACTGCCCCAAACAAAATACTTGTAAGATATTGGACTGTTATGCCAAATTAATAGCACTTGTGCTATGGTTAGTAACGCTTTCATATGCTCACCAAGCGGCTTGTGATCGAAATCGAACGGCATTTATGGGCTATTTTTATTCTCCGTACGTGGCTGGTTCAGGAAGATGGGTCGGTTTGATAAGAAACCGATTGAGCTGGTTAGTTAGTGTAGGACGTAACGTCATTGGGTTAAAATTTAAAAACCTACCGACCTTTTGTTGTTGTGAAAAGTGACGACTTACAAACTTCAACCACTTCCT